CACTTGCATATGAAAGAAAGATCAACAGGAACATTACACTAAGTATGAACATGACAATGAGTGATTAGACTAAAGGGAAAACACTTGCATATGAAGGGAAGATCAACCGGAATATCATACTAAGTATGAACATGACAATGAGTGATTAGACTAGATGGCAAGCACTTGCATATGAAGGGAAGATCAACCGGAACATCACACTAAGTGTGAACAAGACAAAGAGTGATTAGACTAATGAAAAACACATGAATGTGAGGGGAAGATCATGCGGCACATCACACTAAGTGTGAGCAAGACAAAGAGTGATTAGACTAATGAAAAGCACATGCATGTGAAGGGAAGATCAATCGGATCATCACACTAAGTGTGAGCAAGAGAAAGAGATGCTAGACTAGATGAAAATCACTTACATATGAAGGGAAGATCATCCGGAACATCACATGTTATTACATAAGTGAAAACAAGAGTCTAAGTAGGCAAGATCACCAAAGTTGAATCAAAGGTCATCTATGAAAGAAGCGTTATACTACCTACTTGTGTGAGTGTGAAAAACAAAAGTTTGAAGCTCCCAAATCACCAAGATTGCGTCATGGATCACTCATGGGTGAAGCGCTACACTACCTATTAGTGTGAGTGTGAAAAGCACAAGTTTGGAAAACCCAAATCACCAAGATTGCATCATGGATCACTTACGGGTGAAGCACTACACTACCTACTAGTGTGAGTGTGAAAATGACAAGTTTGGAGAGCCCAAATCACCAAGATTGCATCAAGGAGCATCCATGTGTGAAGCGCTACGCTACCTACTAGTGTAAGTGTGAAAATCACAAGTTTGAAGTTCCCAAATCAACAAGACTGCATCAAGTAGCATCCATGTGTGAAGCGTTGTACTACCTACTAGTGTGAGTGTGAAAATCACAAGTTTGAAGCTCCTAAATCACCAAGATTGCATCGTGCATAAGTGAAAGAGAAGAGTTTGAGTAGCCCATGGAAGAGAGAAGGTGAAGTAAGAAAAGATGGGGGAGAAGGGGAGAGAGATAAGGAAGATGAAGATGGAGAAGAAGGGCAGGAAGGGAAAGAGAATGAAAGTACGGAGGAGGAAGGAGGAGATGAAGAGGGGAGAGAAGAGAAGGAAGAAGGAGGGGGTGAGGGGGAAAAAGAGGAAGAAGAAGGAGGAGAGGAAGAAGAAGAAGAAGAAGAAGAAGACGAAGAAGAAGAAGATGAGGGTGAAGAAGCCTCTTCCAGCCCTTCTCTCCTCCTCCCTTGCTTTCTATCAGGCTATGGCAAACTCCCCCAGCTATGGCTATGGAGTTCTCCTCTCTAGGAGGGCTAATGGGGCTCCTCTAGCCTTTCCTCCTCTCCTACACCCAGGAGGGATATGGCGGATCACCTTCCAAGTGTCTCTCCCACCATCACTATCCTCTAGAGTCCTTTCCACTACCTCATAGTCTCCTCTAAGCTCTCCCACTGACATGGGCTCCTCTCCTCTCACTCCAAGTGCAAAGGTGCTCCTGTGGGCTCACTTGGGCAGCATGGGTACTCTTCGTGCAAATGTGAGAGTGGTGGACTGCATCCTCAGCTTATGTAGGCTGAAACCAGCAGTCCGGCCAGCCGATGCGCCTCCCCACGAGGTTTGAGGTGAACCGAGGTACCCCCAAGGCAAAATTCCCTCACTAGGCCCTCTTGGAGGTACCTGGGCCTCATTTTGGCCAAGTGCATGCACTCGAAGTAGTTGGTATCAACTCGGACTGCCTCTTGGCCTACCCCGGCCTCTTTTTCATTGCTCAAATGCTGCCTCCTAGGGTCCTAATGCCCAAGGGGCAGCAATACTTTAAAGAAAAAGACCTTGTGGGCCTTTTTCTCTTTTTCTTGATTTTTTTCAAGTTTCGGCCTCTTTTACGTAGGCCGGAGCATTTTTCCATATGGCGGCACATTTTCAGCCTTGGATCTGGCTGAGATCCAAAGCCAGCAATAATCCGAGCTACCCCCTAGTAGCCCTTGCTTCAATTTTGAACCCCTAAATGCAGTTTTTCAATTTTTGGTGTATCTGACTCTTCTTTTGGGTCAAATGCAGTGTTTTGTCATTTTCCCTCTTTTGTTTCTTTCCATTTTGGGCTGCCACCTCATTCTGGAGCTAGCCGTTTTGAGCTGGCCCACAAAAAACGGCTAGTTTCTTTCTACCATGAGATCTGATTTTAGATCCATGGCCCAAAAGAAAACCGGCCACTTCCTTTTTGCATTTTCTCTCATTTTCAGTTTTTTAATTCAGATTTTATTGAGATATGGCCCGTCCGGATTGCCCTCTCTCATTCTAGGAGGGACGAGGTCACAGTTGGGACCTGCCAGTCCCTACAGTGCAGGTCCCAATAGGCCGGCATACTCTCCTCCACTCTTTTCTCCCCTTTTGTCTCATTCTCCCTTCTTTTTCTCTCATTTTTCTTTCTTTTTCTTTTATTTCTATTGTGGCAAGTGTCAAACTGCTGTGCACCCTCTTCCTAGGCCCTAGGGCCTCATTCAAGGCCAGGTTCATGGATGTTACATGACCATTACATCTCGGATTCCAATAATGGCACCCCCATGATCCTAGGGGGCTCCATTTTGCTCCCGTTTGCCCAATTTTTAGCCCCTTTTTCTCCAATTTTCTAAGGGCAGCCTTTTTTTTATGTTGAGTTTCTCAAGGCTATATTTTCTTATGCCTTGCTAGTCCGAGATATCCCGGACTGTTGGGCAGCCTTCCCAACATTCTTATTTCACTTTTCTTTCTTCCATGGCTCTCTCACTTGCTCCCACTAGTGTTTGCACTAGTGGTGCTAATATTTTTCACCGTCTAGATCCTCGATCTCGACGGTGCCGCTCGCTTGCACAATTATTCCTTGTGTTTGTCTATGGTTCCCTTGGGGCATCCCAAGTCCCCGCTATTTTCCTACTAGCTTCATTTCTTTGTCCCGCCGGCGGACGCGTCCCGTTTTTTTCAATTTTTTTTTATTTGGACCCAATTGGTCCCCGGCAACATTCCGGACGGCGGCCCATTTTTATTTTTTTGGGGCCCATTGCCCTTGGTGGTCCCTTCATTTCTATGTGTATGCCAATTTGTCTAGGCCGTGAGATCTCATCTCACGGTTGTCGTTTACCGTCTTTATTCTTGCCGAAATTGCTTCTTTCTAGCCTTTCCGGGTTTGCAATAATCCATTTTCCCTTGGCCTTGGCATCCTCACGCAGTCCGTAATTTCTCGGAATGCAGTCATGGCTGTTTTTCATACCCACAGCCCCACAACTTGCCCCATGTTGACAGAAAATGAAGCATTAAATTTTCTAGTGTATCCGGGCTCAATATTGGCTCCGGATGCATTTAGAACATGTGTTTTTTCTCCCCCATGCAGTCCGTTGCAACTCGGACTGCAATGGGGGTTAATTCCTTAGCCCCAATGCCCCAAAACTAGCCCCTACTCAAAAGAAAAAGAAACGGTGAATTCCCAAGTGCATCCGATCTTGATTTTGGCTCCGGATGCAACCAAAACATGTGTTTCTCCTCATGCATGCATTCCGTTTTATTCCGGTTGCAAGAGGACTTGATTTTCTTTGATTTTCTCTGCAAAAATCAAAGAAAATCAAAGTCCTTTGTAACCGTCATATTCCAGAATGAATCTGGTCACGGATGAATCTCCCCAAGTGACCGTTTTTTACCGTTAAGGCATTTTTCTCTTTTCTTTTCTTTTCTTTTTCTCCTCCTTTCCTGGACAGTAGGGATTTGTCAGTCCCTACCTATGGCAGTCCCTACTGACGGCCAACTCACTCACTCCCTCTCACTCTTTTTGTCTTATTCTCCCCCTTTTTTTTTTTTTTTTTTTTTTTTTTTAACATGCCAAGTGTCAAGTGGTCGTTAAGGCCCTTTTCTAGCCTCTTCCTCTTAGTTTTGACCCTTCCCATGCCCATGGGAGCCTCCTTTTACTCCTACATTTCTCCCACAATGGTCCCTCCTACTTCGATTTTCTCCCGGAGGCCTATTTTTCACATGGGGTCTTATTTGACTTTATTTTCTTGAGGGAGGCTGATCCGAGATTTTTCGGATTGCTTCCATGTCTCCCACTTCAGTTTTCTTTACTTTTCCTTTTCCTTTTGGCCTTTTCGTTTGTCACCACTAGTCCTTGCACTAGTGGTGTTAATATTCTTGGTCGTCAAGATGTCGATCTTGACGATGCACCTTGCATTTATTATTTTTCCCTCATGCGGTGCCGCGGTTTCTTCTTAGGACTTTCACATGTCCCCGCCACTTGTCCCGTCGGTGGTCCACGACACTTAGTCCCGTCGGTGGTCCCCGACACTTAGTCCCGTCGGCGGTCCCTGACACTTAGTCCCGTCGGTGGTCCCCGACACATTTCGCCCCGGACGCCCTTATTTTTTCTTAGTCCCACGTGGCCCCGGGTGGCTTTCCCCGAGGTGTCCCATGCCTCTTGGGCGTCTTGTCGCCCCATAGCGACCCCTCTCCTTAGTCTTTCCTTGCGCCTTGTGCGTGCCGATCTCTTTGGTCGTGGGTCTCCGCTCCGAGGCTCCCGTAGGTGGCCCCCACGTTGGACCCTCATTTCCTGGCTTCCCGCGGCTTCTGGCCGCCCATCCCTCGACTGCCTCATTCCCCAACTCAGCGTCAGTCTTACGCAGTCTTCTCCAGATGGCAAGGGTGGCATGCGGACACCTGGACGATGACCTCTTCTTGTAAAACTGCTCGCCGGCCTGGTTCTGTGTACCTGTGTACTCAAGGCCACACAGCTTGCACTTCAGTCTTCTACTACCACGAGAGTTCCCCTGCAGAAGTTGACTGGCAATCACCCATGTCCAAACCACGTGCTTGCCTTTATAGTTCCTGTCCTCCGGGAAGTGGGCAGCTGATGCTGCTCCACCTCTTCCACCGGCCACGCTGCTGCTGGCCATGTTTCCTTCCTCGTCCCGGCTGCTGATGTGGCAGCTACTGACGTGGCAGGTGTCGAATCGGCAAATGCTGATGTGGCAGTTGCTGACTTGGCAGGTGCTTACGTGTCAGTTGCTGACGTGGCAGTTACTGACATGGCAGTTGCTGACCAGACACCAGCTGATGTGGCAGGTGTTGATCCGGTATCTGCTGTTGGGGCAGCTGCTGATGCGCCAACTGTTGGAGTGGCACGTGCTGACGTGAGAGCTGGAGATATACCAGCTGCTGATGTGCCAGCTGCTGTTGTGGCAGGTGCTGAAGTGGCACGTGGTGACGTGGCAGCTGCTGACGTCGCAAATGCTGATGTGCTAGCTGGTAGTCCTGCGTAACCAAAGTTCCCAAACAACAACAAAAGGCACGTCAGCTCAACCCGTGCTGAAGACGAGGAAGAAAAAAAAAAGAAAATTCGAGTCAGCAGACATAGCACCGCGTGCTTACGTGGAAGATGCTGACGTGGCACCAGGACGGAGACAAACAGACAGACAGACAAACGGACAAACACAGAGATAGACAGACAGACAGACAGCTGCTGACGTGGCAGTTGCTGATGTGGCAGCTGACGTCGAATGCTGGCAGTTGGACGGACAGACAGACAAACAAAGAGAACAGACAGACTGATAGACATTATGACTGTCGGACTGACTGACTGACTGACACACGTACACAGACATACAGACAGACAAAGGAGGACGAGGAGGAGGAGGAAGAGGAGGAGAAAGAGGAGGAGGACGAGGAGGAGGAGAAAGAGGAGGAGGGTTAGGCGGCGACGGGGGAAGTCGGAATCCGGGTACGTAGGTAGGGGGACGAGGAGGAGGAGGAAGAGGAGGAGAAGGAGGAGGAGGAGGAGGGGGAGGACGACCCTCGTGCTGATGTGGCAGCCGCGCATTCGTCAGATGATGACGAGGACGGGGAGGATGAGGAGGAGGAGGAGGAGGACGACGAGACGAAAAAGAAGAAGAAGAAGAGGAGAAGAAGGAGGAGGAGGAAGAGGAGGAGGACGAGAAAGAGGAGGAGGAGGAGGAGGAGGAGGAGAAAGAGGAGGAGGAGGAGGGGGAGGACGACCCGCGTGCTGACGTGGCAGCCGCGCGTTTGTCAGACGATGACGACGATGGGGAGGATAAGGAGGAGGAGGAGGACGGCGACGACGAAAAAGTAAAAGAAGAAGCAGAGAAAAAGAAGGAGGAGGAGGAAGAGGAGGAGGAAGAGGACGAGGAGGAGGAGGAGGACGAGGAGGAGGAGGAAGAGGAGAAAGAGGAGGAGGAGGAGGGTTGGGCGATGACGGGGGAAGTCGGGATCCGGCTGGGCAGGAGGAGAAGGACGAGGGGGAGGAGGAGGAGGAGGAGAAGGGTGGCGAATCGAATCCAATCGATTCGATTCAATCAATCAATCAAACAATCAATCAATCAAGGAATCGATTGAATTCGTTGATTGAATTGAATCTACATTAAGATTCGATTCAATCAAGGAATCGATTCGATTCAATCAAGGAATCGATTCGATTCCTTGATGGAATCGAATCTTTCAAGGAATCGAATCGATTCCTTGATTGAATCGAATCTTGATGTAGATTCAATTCAATCAACGAATCCAATCGATTCGTTGATTGATTGATTGATTGATTGATTGATTGATTGGATCCGGATAGGTAGGAGGAGGAGGAGGAGGACGACGACGACGACGAAGAGTAGGAGGAGGAGGAGGAAGAAGAGGAGGAGAAGGAGAAGGAGGAGGAGGAGGAGGACGAACCGCGTGCTGACGTGGTAGCCGCGCATTCGTCACGCGATGAAGACGACGGGGAGGATGAGGAGGTGGAGGAAGTGGAGGACGACGACGACGACGACGAAGAAGAAGAAGAAGAAGAAAAAGAAGATACAAAGAAGAAGAGCTTCAAGACAAAAAAGAAAAAAAAGAAAAGAAAAAACGGGCGCGGTGACATGACAACCGCGTGGAGGGGGAGGGGGAGAAGGAGCGTAATGACGTGGCAGCCGCGCGTTCGTGGGTGGTGGAGGAGGAGGACGAGGAGGAGAGGAGAAGAAGAAGAAGAAGAAGAAGAAGAAGAAGAAGAAGAAGAAGAAGAAGAAGAAGAGAAGAAGAAGAAGAAAAAAAAGAAGAAGAAGCAGAGGAGGAGGAGGAGGAGTAGGAGGGGGAGGACGACCCGCGTGTTGACGTGGCAGTCGCGCGTTCGTCAGAGGATGACGACGACGGGGAGGAGGAGGAGGAGGAGGAGGAGGAGGGGAGGGCGACGACGAGGAAAGTCGGGATCCTGGTGTGTAGGAGGAGAATGAGAAGGAGGAGGAGGAGGAGGACAAGGAGGAGGAGGAGGAGAAAGAAGAAGAAGAAGAAGAAGAAGAAGAAGAAGAAGAAGAAGAAGAAGAAGAAGAAGAAGAAAAAAAAAAAAAAAAGGAGGAGGAGGAGGAAGAGTTAGACGAAGCAGAAACGGAGGTGAAGGAGGAGGAATCTTGATCTCGAATCTTAATCTCGAATCTTAATCTCGAATCTTGATTAAGGAATCGGTTCGAGATCAAGATTCGATTCAATGAATCGAATCTTGATCTCGAATCAATTCATTCATTGAATCGACTCGATTTGTTGATCGAATCGAATCTTGATGTAGATTCGATTCAATCAACGAATCGAATTGATTCGTTGAGTGAATGGACTGATTGATTGATTGATTGATTGATTGATTTTGATTGATTGATTGATTGATTGATTGATTGATTGGTTCATTATGATCCAGTAGAAGAAGAAAAAGAAGAAGAAAAAAAAAAAAAAGAAGAAGAAGAAGAAGAAGAAGAAAAAGAAGAGAAGAGGAGGAGGAGGGGAGAGCGACGACGGGGGAAGTAGGGATCCAGGTAGGTAAGAGGAGGAGGAGGAGGAGGAGGGGGAGGAGGAGGAGGAGAAGGAGGAGAGGCTGACGACAAAGAAGAAGAAGAAGAAGAAGAAGAGGAGGAGGAAGAAGAAGAGGAGGGGGAGGCGGAGGAGGAGGAGGAGGAGGAGGAATAGGAGGAGGAGGAGGAGCAGGAGGAGAAGGTGGCCCTACCTGGGGGCGCGATGGTCGCTAGCTTGCGGTGCACGTCGACGAGCGGCGGGGCACCCCGAATTCGCGTTCGAATTCGAACGGGGGACCCGGCTGCCCCTTCCCGCCAGGCCGCCCGCCCGACACCGCCCCCCGAACACCCTCCCCGACGGCCTCCAGACCCTACAGGGCCAAAACTCCCCCCCGAACACCCTCCCCCTACGACCCTTAGACCCTACCGGCCCGGTACCGCCCGCAGAACCAACACATTCGCAAACTGAAAAAACCCGTTCGGGCGAATGGCCGAACGTGTTCGGACGTTCGGGAAACCTCCGAACACGTTCGCTGTGCTACGCAGACTCAAATTATGAGTTTTTATTGAATTTTTTCAAAGTTTTATTTAAAAAAAATATTTTATTTTTTATTTATTTTACTGGAAATTGGGGCAGAAATTGTGGATGCCTACCGGGAGTAAAGCCGATCAACAAAATTTTCCCAAAATATTAAGATGTTTTTCGAGAGAAACCGACATCGAATGCGACCAGTACACGCCTCATTAGTCCTTGTTAAATTGAATTAAATTGCCGAATTTTATATTTTTCCGTTTTGTTATTTATTATTGTAGCACACCGAACATGTTCGGAGCTTTTCTGAACGTCCGAATATGTTTGGAGCTTTTCTGAACGTCCGAACATGTTCGGAGCTTTTCTGAACATCCGAACATGTTCGGGTGTTCGGTCGAAAGCCACCCGAACGTGTTCGGCCGAACATAAAAAAAATAAATATATATATATATATTTTATTTTATTGGTTTTTAACTCGAGTTTGGTTACGAATTTGACCATACCTCCAAGGCAAACGTTGTTTCTATTATTATTCTACATAACAAATAGTTTTTTCATATTTTTAGGATA